TACATGTTCATTTGCATGAAAACTTCGTGGCGGCAACATTATTGATATTTTAATATAAAAGCAAATATTGAACTGTTTTCTGTTAAAATATTTGTTATTATGTAATTGGATGTAAAATAGCCTATTTTCTAAGCTTTTTAAGTGATTAAATCCGGCAAAAATACGTTTTAGAAGCTATCTCACAGATGCTTATATCAAGATGTAAAAAGCCCACAAAAATGTTGCCACTGACATAATTTATATCTAGCGACCAACATGACAGCTGGACAGCAATAAATTTTATCCTATGGTGACGGCCAGTAAGTTTGTTTACTGGATATACTGAGTTGTGTAGGGCTCAGTATATCCAGTAAAAAAACTGTGGTGAAGTCCTTTATGGGGATAAAGTTTCCAGAGGTAAAATTTTAGGTATCACACAATTTCTTCCACGCATGGTTGCCTTTCAGCGCTCATGAAAGAAACTTTAGAAATACTTGAAAAAAAGTTCATGTAGTGTCAAGACAAACCGCACTGGTTAATTATAAATCCAAGACTGACTTTTATTGAAGTAATCCAAATGTATGTAAGCTAATACATGCCTTACAATGTTGTAAATAGAAGTATGTATATGTACATGTGTATGAGATATTAATATGCGAGGGTGTGCGTGATTATAAGAGAGGTATGTACATGACATCCCTCTTTTTTTTCAAAATTCTAATTAGTTCAAAATTTACATTCAATATTCAAGTAAGTAAAGAAATAAATGAATAAAATTGTTATGGTTTTCTTCTCCTGAGTAGCGACATCGTCAGGCTCCATATCGTTCAACTGGTCGAATTATCCGTCCATACCTAGATTTGACAACGGGTTCAATTTCGTGCTGTGGTGAGCTGTTAGTGCCTTTGAGGCGTACGCAACTGGCTGATCATCTTGCAGTAATACTGCGCCTACACTTGCGTTGCTTGAATCTACCTGCAATTTGACGTCGATGTTTGGGCCGTAAAACCGTAACACTGGCGCGCTGGAAAACACCGATTTCAGCCGTTTAAATGCAGCTTTTTGAGGTTCTGCCCAAATCCATGCGGAGTCTTTTTTAAGTAAAATACGCAAAGGTTGCGTTATTTCGGAAAAATTTTTTATAAACTTACTTAGATAAGTAGCCATGCCCAAAAGACGTTGTAGCTCGGTTTTATTTTTGGGTTGATTCAAATTGCGGATGGCTGTTATCTTATCCGGATCCGCACACAGCCCGTTTTCGGTTAAGACATGACCTAAGAACTTAATTCGATTAGTAGCAAAAACACACTTTTCTTTGTTGAGCTTAAGACCACAACTCTTTAGCTTTTGCATTACTGTTTGTGTAATTTCGTGTAATTTTTCTTTAGTTTTCGCAAATATTAGAACGTCGTCCATGGATACTTCAACATTTTCAACTCCTTCTAGAAGGTCAGACATAATTTTTTGGTATACCTCTGGTGCCGATGCCAATCCAAACGGCAATCTTTTATAAGAATATCTACCCCAAGGTGTAGCCATTGTTAAAATTTTGGATGTTCGAGGAGACACTTTCATTTGCCAAAATCCGCGTTTACAATCCAAAAGAGTAAACCACTTCGAGCCTTTAACTCTCGCTACTATCTCCTCAACTGTCTTTAGTGGGTAGTATCTTCGAATGAGATTCTTGTTTATATCTGAAGGATCAATGCAAATTCGTATTTTGTTTTTCTGTCTTATAACTACCATGGGGGAAGCCGCTGGCGTGACTTCATTAGTTTTTTTTCTAAAACGTTCATGCTTACCATTTTATCAATTTCCTTCTTTACTTCGTCCCGTATACTATGAGGCACTTTCCTTGCAGCATATGTCTCGAAGCGGGGATTTGGAATCAAATCTATATCATACTCATAGTTCCTCACGCATCCAAGCCCACTGAAGATTTCATCGTCCGACTTTAGTTCGGTTACTCGCAAAATTAGGCCGCTTCGTTCACAATCCTCTTTTCCTAGTAAAGGCGAAACTGCACCGTCAACAATTTTGAAGTTAATTGTTAAATTTTTGTCGCGGACTTGGCACTTCGCGTTAATTTCGCCACATACACTCACTTTGCTGTTGTTAAAAGCTACCAATTTTTTCGTTGTAGCCGGTAAAATTTTAATTTTCATTTTATTGCAAATCGACTTCAGTAAGACGTTACACTGAGCTCCAGAATCGAGCTTCACCTTAATTGTTCTATTTTCAACAATAATTTGCTCACACCAGCTGCGGCTAGTGTCGAAGTTTGTATTAACTGTGTTGACGAACAATTCGTCTTCACTTATATTTTCTTCGCTTTCTACTCGTTCTGGCGTCGCTTCTTTAGTAAGCTCAAATACTCGTTGTTTTCTGCTTAAACACATTTTTGCGAAGTGCCCTCTGCGGTGACATTGATTGCAACTTTTGTTGTAGGCCGGACAACGGTTTTCCTCATGCAGATACCCACAAAACCTACACTCGCGCTCTTTTTGCTTTAGTTTTGCTTTTGGAGTTGAGTAGGACGAGTGCGCATACTGTGCATTTCTCTGTTTTACTTTTTTTAGAACATTAACCTCCGTGTCTTCTTTGTGAAGCTCTTTTAGTTGTTGCGTTGCTGCTTCGCTAGCTCGACAAGTCTTAATTGCCTTTTCCAAGGTTATCTCTTCGACAGATAGCAGCTTCTCTCGAACGGCGTCACTTTGAACGCCGCAAACAATTTTGTCTCGCAGTAAAGCGTCCGTTAGCTCACCAAATTCACATTTTCTGCTTTGGTTCTTTATTCTCGTTAGAAACTCGTCGAACGGTTCCCCAGATTTCTGTGTCATGATGTTAAATGAGTATCTCTCAAAAGTAACGTTTACTTTAGGTGCAAAATATTCATCAAACTTTTTTATAATTGTTGAGACACTCTTTTTTTCCACATCGCTTAGTGAAAACGAATTATAAATATTAAGTGCCTCCGGCCCTATTGCCGTCATAAACGTGGCCACTTGAATCTCCGCTGGTTTTTTCTCCAGTTCTGCAGCCACTGAAAACCATGTGTACTGCTGATGCCACTGACTCCATGCCTGTGCTGCGTTGTCAGTATCCACTGCCAGCGGTTTAGGTGGTTTTACGTACGCCGCGTTCATTCCGTCTGAAGGTGTATATTTTCCTGCTCCGACGCGTTGGGCATCTAATCTGACACCATGTAGTGTCAAGACAAACCGCACTGGTTGATTATAAATCCAATACTGACTTTTATTGAAGTAATCCAAATGTATGTAAGCTAATACATGCCTTACAATGTTGTAAATAGAAGTATGTATATGTACATGTGTATGAGATATTAATATGCGAGTGTGTGCGTGATTATAAGAGAGGTATGTACATGACATATAGTACATTAATTTTTGACAGAAATACCATATAATGTATGTACTCTGGTTAGTAATATCAAAAAATGTATTAGAACCACCGTTTAATGTTATATTTAATACAGGCTGCATTTCTTTATTCATTCTGAATGTTTGGAATAAACTTTTTTGTTTACTTATTCTTTAGAACGTTCCTGATGATATGTTAACGTATATTTCAAACGCATTCTGTTTATTCCGGCTGTGAAATGGGATTATCCGGAATGTATAAAGAAACGCAGCCACAAAATAATATTACTGCCCCGAACGCTCTTCGCCTTGCCACTGAATAAATAGCTGCACATCACCCTAACTGCCGAAAAAGCGTTGCTGGCAACACTAGTGCTTTATGGGGACCAAATTTGGTGGAAAAAAACAGCTAACTGCCCGACTCCACAAGATAAAGTTTATATCTTGAGACCGCTCATTGCTCTTCAAGAGCAATATATATCAGAGCTTATATCTTGCCATCTATTGCCGGCAATATGGTAGTTTGACAGCTACATGTTCATTTGCATGAAAACTTCGTGGCGGCAACATTATTGATATTTTAATATAAAAGCAAATATTGAACTGTTTTCTGTTAAAATATTTGTTATTATGTAACTGGATGTAAAATAGCCTGTTTTCTAAGCTTTTTAAGTGATTAAATCCGGCAAAAATACGTTTTAGAAGCTATCTAACAGATGCTTATATCAAGATATAAAAAGCCCACACAAATATTGCCATTGATATAATTTATATCTAGCGACCAAAATGACAGCTGGACAAAAATAAATTTTATCCTATCGAGACGGCCAGTAAGTTTGTTTACTGGATATACTGAGTTGTGTAGTGCTCAGTATATCCAGTAAAAAAACTGTGGTGAAGTCCTTTAAGGCCACAATGCAGCTCTCAAGAAAAGCAAAAACTCCATATAAAATGACGTACAAGAAATGGCTAAGAAATTTTCTTGAGTCAAATTTCCTTACGGCAGTACGCAGTTCTTAAGAAATTTACTACGCTTTCTACTACGGTTTTCTAAAGTTTTGTGTGAAAAAAGAGCACAAGGCAACCCAGGTTTGCAACAGAAATATATGCCCGTTCCATTATTTCTTGAGGAAAGAGTGAGGCAACAGCTGTGAGGTATCAAAAATGTCAAAATTCCTTGGACACACACACGAAATAATGGCAATTTTTTCTTGACCGTTTTCTTGAGAGCTTCATACAGGGCTTTATGGGGATAAAGTTTCCAGAGGTGAAATTTTAGGTAGCACACAATTTCTTACACGCATGGTTGCTTTTCAGCGCTCATGAAAGAAACTTAAGAAATACTTGAAAAAAAGTTTATATAGTACATTAATTTTTGACAGAAATACCATATAATGTATGTACTCTGGTTAGTAGTATCAAAAAATGTATTAGAAACACCGTTTAATGTTATATTTAATAAAAAATAATATTACTGCCCCGAACGCTCTGCGCCTTGACACTGAATAATAGATTTACTTAAAATTGCATCCCTGGTCCTTGTTCTTTCTGTATCGCATCGTGGTGAATTCAAATTTCTCAGAACTTTGACAACAGAGCAAAACAAAGCGAGTATATTATTTGCTAATTTTTGCGATTTCTATTGTTTTATGTAAATTTATCTCTTTTTAGGATATGTTGAGCCAACAAAGAAGGCGCAGTTGGAAAATGGAGTAATTAGTAATGAAGTAGCAGGCATATTTGGAAAATTATGCCGATAAGCAGGATGGAATTTGGGAAAGTAACTGCCTGGTTGCAGCATATCTATGCATTAAAAAGTATTTAATTAAATTGTTGGAACAAATGCAGTTGGGCTCCAAATCT